GATAGACGTCCCATGAAGTCGGGCGAAACGCCTCGGGGCTATAGGAAGCATGGAGGATCGAGCCTGCTGAGAAGGGAATCCCTCCTCGGTCAAGTTAGTCACTTCGATATCCGAAGCCCAGCTAGAGCCGGCCCCCGAATTCCGAACGTTTCGACGACATTCTCTTTCATACAAGGAAGCGCTCCGTCTCGACATTTCTACAAGTAGAGGTAAAAGTAACAATCGACTTTCACGCAAAACGAAGAAAAGATTTCGACAAGTACCAGAAGGGTTATGAGGAGGAGCCAAGTCAAAGTCCACGAAGTTCTGCTCCTTAACCAGATCTACGCCCCAAAGCTCAGTATTCGGTAACTGGATAACAGTATGGTAAAAATTGAATGCCTCGACAGTAAGCTCACAACTATAGGAAACTATCAACAAAGAAAAGAAATATCATAATATATATCTACAAAAGTCCCGATAGAGCTCGGGAATCCACTTTTCTAACTCCCTACACTCAGTCGGGACGGGAAAGTACAGTCCTCTCTCATCATGGGCTAACCAATCGCCACCGACAAAGAACAATTCGTTCTTCCAATGCTTCACTGAGGAAGGACTCATAACGAGAACATGGTTCCGAGAACTGACGTAAAAATGAAAATTATCCTCGAGACTGTATTTGAGGTAATAAAGCAACATGAAATCTGCGGCGGTTAGAGGTTGCTCGCCCCCGAGGTACAACCACAAAATAAAGCAACTAATCAAAGTAGACCACTCATTCGGGACGATTTGGGAATGAGCTACTTGGTTGAAAGCTAAAAAGTTTTGAAGGAAAAGAGGCAACGGTAGGCGGACTCCAAATTTGAACATAGCTGCATAAAATACAACCTGGAAAAGAGCCATCAATACTTTCTCCCGAATTTGGAAGACAAAGGCTAACCGAATCCGGGATACGGTATTTCAAACGCAAGCGATGAAGATTCCTCGCTGTAAGAGTGGAGTTATCCACCCAGAACGAACGGTAGGGTCGAGATCCAGACGAAGGATTCGACGATGATCCATCATCCGATGAGGTCCATTCAAAATTAAGATCAGCCATGAAGATCAAACACAACAAAAATCAGAAAAGAAGTATACCTTGTAAGGAGGTTGACAAGAAATGGAGGGAGTGAAGGGGTTTAAATAGCCCTCAACTCAAGGGCACAGCTCTCAGTTTGGTGGAATTTACTCAACGGACCGAGGTGTGTTTGGCTCGATACCCAATACCCCCATGACCTCAAGGTCACGGGTCTACAATTGATGTGACAATTGCATGGTCGACTGCCTCGGGTCTTGCAAAGATGGGGTAAATCAACATGCATTCCCTCGTGTCTCGTGAAGAAGGGACAATTCGACTCCACCTATGGTTCTCACGGGTCCCACAGTGACATGACAGCTCAATAGGCTCGGGCCACGATCTTTGACAGTAAGACCGAGGTGTGCTTAGTGTGGACCCCGAGGAGCTCGTGATCTCCTCAGTCACGGGTCTGACATGGAAGGACAAGACACGACAAAAATTTTACTCCCAAGGAGATGAAGACAAAACCGGAAGCATCGCCTTGGGAGTAGGGGCAATTGTTATGCGACGGAAAATCGACAAAAGGCCAACTTGCAGAGGAGAAGGAACGAGGAAAGCGAACGGTAGAGAACCAATCGGGCAAAACAGGGCTCCATCCCGACCCCTACTCGGCGTCGAGCCTGGCTCGGCCCACGGCCCAGCCCGTGAATCTCCCGCCTTTGATCAACGATTCCCCTCGGGCCTTGAAACTCTGAATTAGGGCTTAGCTACGGAAGTTTCTGGAATCATTATGACAGCTATAAGTAGCGGTGAGGTCCAACCCTGAAGGGACAAGTAACATCTCTAGTTCACTACTTTCTTAACTTTCCCTTGCTAACTTAGGCATCAGAGCCCGTGTGACTAAGGTCACACCGGTTTAGATCGATTTGGTTTTGCAAGTATCAGTCCCCGAATTATCGAGTTAGGTGTGTACAAGGAGGAGAACCGGAGGATTGAAATCCACATATCAACATTACCCGTCATTTTTGAAGTAATATTAAATAAGTCTATAACTTATGTGTAGGTTTTGTTTTGATTTTTTTTTTGTTGCCTTTTGAAATTTTTTCCAATTTCGTGGGTTGGTTATGCGTCGGTTTTTATTTGATTTTTTTATTATTTTTTGTTTTTTTTTCTTTTTACCTTTTGAAATTCTATTTTAATTTTGTAGATTTTTTTTTTTTCTTCTAAAATTATATTTCAATTCCACCTAATTTTACATAACTGTTAGAATGTAAAGAGTTTTTTCCACCATCATTTAACAGTTTTTAATTATATAATATTAAAATATGGTAGAATTTTAATACTTTTGCAACCTATTCCTTTTATCATTATATAAAAAGACTTTATTCACTCATTTTCAACAACATTGTGAGGTTTTTTTTTTCTTCTTATTCTTCTTCTTTTTTCCCTCATTTTTTCTCTCTGACAATTTTTTTATTTTTAAGGTTCAGTCTATAAGATCGTTCCAATTTTTTAGAGCATAATGTTCATGTTTAGCATCCTTGAATATTGGTGAGAGGTATATATGTATATATGTATATATATATTATATTATATTAGTACGAATATAATTTTGTAGCAATATTACCCTTCAATTTTTATTCAATTTTTATTCAATACGATATATGCCCCTAGTTTATGGGTAGGTTTTGTTTGGATTTCTTTTTATTATATTTTTTTTCTTTTGCCGTTTGAAATTCTATTTCAATTTAGTGGGTTTGTTTTGATTTTTTTTATTTTTCTTTAATTTTCTTTTCTATTTTAATAAAAAGAAATCAATTTTAATTTTGTTTGGCCGTTTGAAATTATATTTTTTCTATTTCAATATTTTATTCAATCTCGTATGTAGCCTTAATTTATTAGATTAGCAAAGGTTTTGTTTTGATATTTTTTTTTTAATATTTGTTTTGCTCTTCGAAATTCTATTTTAATTTTGTAGGTTTTGATTTGATTTTCTTTTTATATATATATATAATATATATATTCCTTTAATTCTAATTCAATTCACGTGATTTTGTCTCTAAAACTAGTGTTTAATTATGTAATATTTAAAAGGTGGTATAATTTTAAAAGTCTTGCAACAACATTCTGTAAAATATTCACTTCACTCATTTTCAACAACATTCATTCATTTTCGATAACATTGAGGTTAATTTTTTTTCTCATTCTTCTTTATTTTTCTCTTTTTATCTCTCACAATATTTTTATTTTAAAGGTTTATTAATCAGCGATATATATATATATATTCAACATTAAACTATATCACATCTTCGCTATCATGAATATGAAAATCTCATCCACTCACACATAAATAAAATTCTTTCGTATCATTTTTTTTAAAAAGTTAAATTCTTTAAGAAACTCACACAAATTCCACAATAATTTAATATTTATTATTTATTTAAAACAAAAGTATCAAAATATTTAAAATTAATAATTTAAATAAGTTCATAAAATTGACAAATGACAATAGAATGTTAAAACTTAAAATAAAATTTATTTCTAAAAATTAATTATAAATTTATGACGACTCTTTCAATCAGGGTTCAAAATGTCGAGAGACATGTTGACATGTCGCATGGACATAGGGGAAAAAGTCGATTTTCCCCCCATGTTGTCGACATGTCAACATGTTGACAAAATATCGACAAAATGTCGACATGTCTTTTTTTTTTTTCCTCTTCTTCTTTTAAGGTTATTTTATTTTCATCCTCTTTCTACTATGCCACAACAGTATATAATTTTTCACAACTTCAATAATTGTAATCTTAGTCTGTTCAATGAAACATTCGCATTTTAATACTGTATAAAGTATAACTAATAAGATTTGGAATTTGCTTTATTGATAATTTCTAATCCAATCTAGTCCTTGGTTACACAATTGAACAATATATGTGAAATATTGACATATATAAATATTGAAATAATCTTAGAATTTCTAAAAAATAAAATATTATTATACACAAATAGTGGTGAAACATGAAGCAGAATATGTAACTTAATCAATTAATACCAAAAAGATGATCTCGGAGGATCTAGAGCACTATCTTCATAACTTTGATATAAATTACAATAGTTCTCCCAAGTCATCCTAGACTGAAAATTTTGAAGATAGTCGCTGAAATGAGTAGAATACGAAGCACATATGGATCTCATTGGTAGATAATTTGGATGAATGACACAATCACGAGGTTGAGGTGTTTGGAAATTGTGTAAATTTGATTGGAAAGTTGGATTGATGATTGATTTGAAAATGTGTTTGAAAAATGTGTAAATTCAAATTTGAAAAGGGAAGTAGGTAAAAAGTAAACATGTACGAGTTAATTAGAATTTAGAAATGTGTTTGGAAACCTAGTCGGTAATTATCTTATTTTCAAATGAATCCTATTATGAAAAACAGTAAAGAAATAGTCAGAAGTTTACAATTAAAGTTTACTTTACATATTCAAATAATTTCCATCAATCTTCATTAAAGAAAAAATCTTTTTTCTATATTTCCATCGACATCGACATTTTCATAAGTAAAATAATCATATTCTTACATTTAATGGTTAAATGTGATCAATTATAGGCTAATTAAGCTATTTATTTGCTAATTCAAAAAATTTCCATAAATTTCCACAATTTCCATTATTTTTCCTGAAATATCCATCAACATGTCCGTAAAATCGAGACCTCGACATTTTCAACGACATTGACATTTTGAACACTGCTTTCAACATAATTAATAATAAATTTCCTTTAAAAAAATAATAATAAAATTTCAAAAGTTTTAGAATTTTGATAGTTTTATAGTTTTACAACATTTTTTTCGCTACTACAACTATATAAAAACTCTTTCTCTTTCTTTATTATTTTTTTTTAATAAAAAATTTGTTCATTCTCTGTTGAGTATTATTTCTTTATTGATTAATAATAATAATCTTTCCTAACTTGATATACACAATCATCTCAATTGCATAAATAATTTATGTTTATTTCTTGAATAGAATTTATAGTAAATATCAAGTCAACTTCACACATATATGGATTAATCTCTCTTCACATTCTTAGCTCCAAAATTTTCAATTTTAAACTTTTATATATATAATCTTTTAATTATAAGAATTCAAGAAAAAAATTAGATTGAAACTGCAAAAGATTTTGTAATATATATACATATACTTTCTATAACGACAACATATTAAAACTACAAACTAAATTTTGTCATCTTCTTTCCATATAATTTTTTTTATTGTTTTTATATATAATTTTTATTTGAATTTTGCAAAGTCTAAAGAAGTCAACAATTGGGAGATGGATTGTCTAGCTTACATGTTTCCTTTTTAATTTTACTTCAGATGTATTATGAATTTTAGCTATTTTGAATATAATAGTGTGTGTATATATATATAGAGTAAAAGAAGCCCCAATATTTTGTATACACTGCTCGCTTAACATATTTCTGAAATACCCCAATATTTTGTATACACTACTCGTTGAGCATATTTTTGAATTTTATATAACTTGATTGAATTGAAAAACTTAAAATAAAACCTGCGGTAGATAAACAAAATCTAAACAAATTTTTTTTTCTCTATTTTTTAGTTATAAAGTGTTGGTTTTAAAACGTAATTAACAAACAAAATGTCATAAACATAAACAAGATGAAAAAAACAAATTTCTACTATTTTCTTATTTGATAACAAAAAAAACAAAAAACAGAAAAAACAAAAACAAAAATTTAAATTTAGTAAGTTCTGAAATTCCAATTTCCGAACAAAAATTTTAACTTGTCCCAAAAAAAGGAAAAAGGAGCCGTTTCTCCTATTTCCCACACACGTGTCACGTACAGATCATCTCATTAGTAGTACGATACAATACGCTGCCGTTTCATGCTACCCCTCCCTTCCCCGGGCTAATTTACCAAAGTAACCCCAAAATAAAGGTTGATAGACCTCATTTTTTAAATATTGGATAATAGCCCTTTTCTACATAAAATTACAAATATCAAAACCGCTGTACCGATCCTACGTCTCGGTTCGATTATGTTAAACAATCAAATAAAATCGAACTGAACTGAACTGAAGTAAAGTTAAATATACTGCAAAAAATCCTGGCCTCATTCTAAATTAGGGGTTTTCATGGATTGGGTTTAGTTGGGTTGATGTAATTTTTAAACTCAACTCAATTGTTCGGGTTGTAAATTTATTCAACCCAAACAACACATATTAAATAATAAACTCGATCCAACTTAAATAAGTTTAAAATCCAACCCAAACCAAATCTAACCTTTGTTAATCCCCTATATTTATTATACTAAAAAACATAACATATATTTTATTTATTTATTTTGGAAGCATGAATAATCAAGATTTTTTCAAAAAAAATAATGAGACCTTCAAATATATATCTTGGTTGTTCAATTCTGAAATAGAAATTTTTGACTTAGTTTGGTTTATGGTATATCTTCATTCCGTCGTTGCTGCTCCGTCTCGGTCGAGACCTCGGCTCCCAAATCAAAAGGCCACTATTAAATTAGTTTGGTCCATCTTTAGTTAATTTTGGTCTCTATTCTTTCAAAATATTTGCTTTGATCATTGTATTTTTAATTTTGGATCATTTTAATCTTTGTATTTTCAAAATGTTCATTTTAGTCTTTGTAGTTTTAAAAAGTAACCATTTTAGTTCCTTAATTTTATTCTTAATCTCATTTTTATATCGAAATTCCAATACGACACTACAAACAATATTTATTTCTTAAAATGTAAAACATTATTTTATACTATAAAGTTTCTGTTAAGCATAAAAGTTGGGTTAAAATTTTGGAAAGAGAGACTAAAATAATCATTTTTTAAAAGTACAGAAATCATACTAAAAAAAGTACAGAAATTAAAATAAACACTTCAAAGAACGGGAACTAAAATAAATCAAGACTGATAGTACGATACCAAAATAGAATTTTAACCTAAATTTTACATGTGGAGGGTTTAATCGTACATTCACATAAAGTGAAGCCTAATTCTCCATTTATTAAACGTGGGTAAAAAGTCCATGTCTTTTTCTTTTTGAAAATGGGTTTTTTGTGAATTACGAGGAGAAACAGAGACCCAAACAACACTATTTAGCTTTCTCCTTCGCCCACCAAAACGGGACTGCACACCTCCTCATCAGGAACAGATTCAAACCCAGGTATCTCCTCTTCTATGCTTCTTTGTTGATCTGCAAATTCCCATTCATTCTCTCGCTTTCGCTGTTCTGTTTGATGTTTAATTGAGGCTTCACAACATCGGAGTGTTTAACTAGTTCTAATTCTTCCCCCCCATGTGGGAACTTTGAATTGTCCGCCGTATGTGAATGTTTTTTTTGCGCTAATTTGTGAATTTGATTGATGCCCATGAGAACAAATGAAGGTGTAGACAATGTGGACGGTGAAGGTTTTGGTTGCTATTTCTTGGGT